GTGATTTGGGGGGTAGTTTTCATTTTTGAATCATGTAAGGGTACCACTTATTAAATGCTTTAATTTTAAAAATCTTCATACAATGATCACGAGCCTTACTTCCTCACTGTGCCTTGCCACTAACTAATTCTATACTCGCACAAGTGGGCGCTGTGCACAGAGCTGAGGACTAATGACCAGCGACGTGACCGTGGGCCAGTGACCTCTCTGGGCCTCGCTTTTCTCGATCATCTGTAACATGAGAACAACGACGAGGCCCGAATCACGGAACGATCGTGAAGAGGTAAAACGGAGGCACTTACTTTGGGGCCCCTGGGTGGCTCCGTCGGTCAAGCGTCCGACTCTTGATCTCAGCTCAGGTCACCACCTCGTGGTTCGTGGGGGTCGAGCCCCAAGTCGGGCTCAGTGCTGACGGTGCGGAGCCTGCTTGGGATTCTCTCTCTCTACCTCTCTCTCTGCCCCTCCCCTGCTCATGTTCTCTCTCTCTCAAAATAAATAAATTAAATTAAATTAAATTTTAAAAAAGGCGGCACAGACTTTGAACAAATGGGAGAATGTAGTGTTCGCTGGGGCTCCTCACGGCACCTTGCACTAGCAGAGTCCCTTAGAAACATCTGCTGAGTCACAGGCAGTCGGTCAGCTTTACGGGATAACGTGCTCTCTGGACGACCTAAAATATAGTCTAATGATCGGTCTGGATTTTCAATACTACGCTCAGACTCACATTAAGAAAGGAAAGCAAAAAAGAGTATCTGATATGCAGGGAAGGGAGAAGCGGAGAAAGTACGTACTTTAAATGCAGTACATATTTTAGCACATACGTGGGTGCCCTGGAGAAAGCAGGACAACGCAGAGAAGTGGTGTTGGGGAGCAAGCGTTAAAAGGAAGGTTCGGGGGCGCTTGGGTGGCTCTGTCGGTTGGGCGTCCGACTCCGGCTCAGGTCGTGATCTCACAGTACGTGGGTTCGAGCCCTGCGTCGGGCTCTGTGCTTAGGATTCTCTCTCTCTCTCTCTCTCTCTCTCTCTCTCTCTCTGCCCTTCTCCACTTGCACGCCCGCCCGCGCTCTCTCTCAAAATAAGTAAAGACTTTAAAAAGTACGTAAATAAAAGGATTTGGGGAATGGCGGTCCCCAGATAGAAGAGTCCAGGCAGGTACTGCTAACTGGTATAAACCCGAGGAAACCAACACGCCCACGGAGACACTTGTTCCGGAAACTGCAAGGCATCGAGGATCAAGAGGAAAAGTCCTGAAGGCTCCAGAGAGAAAAGACGAAACGGCTAGCCGGCCGTGCCTGACCTCAGGAGAGAATGTGTCCCCCAACAGCCGAGGGGACACAGCAGTCAACCTGATACCCTACCCCTAGCCAAACGAGCACCTAGAAACACCAACATAAAGACACTTGCAGGACGGGGACACAGAAAATGCACGACTCACAGGGCTGTCTGTTCTGGGGCCGGGAAGGGAGGAGCCCACTGGCCGAATCCGCCCACCGGCTGTCCCTGGGGGTGAAGTTTTTCTGGAACACGGCCGCGCCCTTCTCTATGGATTACCGATCGTGGTCGTCGCGGTGGCGGCCCACAAAGCCAAAGACAGGTACTCTCCAGCCCTCTGGGCCTCGATATTTCCACGGGTGTTTACTCATTCGAATGTACTCCGCGAACACCCACCGTGTGTGCGCCAGACCCGACCCACGGGGAGGCGCACAATGTCCGGTTCCAGCTCCGGGCCCCTCTTTCCTGGGACCCTTTCCTGGGTGTTGGGCAGTTGTGAGCGAGGGGTGTGTCTAAAAACAACAAAGCACAAACCTTCTCGACACCGACACGCTACTTGTTACGAGACGGTCACCTGTTTCGGAGAGGGGGGCTTGTTGGGACGACCGTGGCCGTATATCCCTTGTTGCCCCCCCTTTCTTCCCGCCCACACCTGCTCTCCTCCCACTGGGCCCTGGGCCGCCCGCAGCCGGAACTCCAACGCCTTCCCCAAGCCCCCCCCCCCCCCCAGGCCCCCCCCCCCCAAGCCCCCACAGACGTCTCCAAGCCTCTGCTCAGGCTCTGCCCCTTACCTGGGGCGCCCTTCCTCTGTCGCGTGGCTTGGCTGACTCTTAAGCTCCTCCGAGAAGTCTTCCTTCCACCCCCAGACTGGACCAACACCTCGCCTCCTCGTCTCGCCGTATAAGGCATCACAAACACCTGCCGAGGGTGTTCTATCGCGGGACGATTGCTCACACCTTGGCCTCCTCCATTGATCACCTCACCTGTTGTCATTTACTCAGTACATCATTCTGGAACGCTGGGAGGATTAACGACACACGCCTGGCAGAAGCCTAGTTGCAGTCACTCGTTCTGGCCCCTGACGGTTACGAACTCTGAAATTTCCCTGCACTAAATACCACTCGGATCTCAACAATTCCGAGCATTCCTGCCAGCAAAGAAACAAGAAATTGCATATTCACTGACTGAAGGACCCAAGTGGGTTTATAATGGTCTGAATAACAGGTAAGTGATTTGCTTAAGCTGTGAGATACTTAAGAATTCATATAAAAGAATTTGGGGATTTAGAGAATATGTATCTTCTGGGGGTGGGGGGGGAATCAACTATCCTGACAATTTCTATAAATCAAATTCTATTACTTTGAGGAACAGTCTACATTCAAAGATGTGCTTCCATGAGAAACGTTTGGTAAAAACTAGGCGCTAGGGACTAATTCAGGTCCAACGTTGAAGAATCGGAAACTGTATCTTAATGCCTCCTGTGAGTTTAGGATTAAAAACATTTTTTTTACAGGGCACCTGGGTGGCTCAGTTTAACGTCCAACGCTTGATCTCAGCTCAGCTTAGGAGCTCACAGTTCGTGGGATCAAGCCCCACGTCAGGGTCTGTGCTGACAGCTCGGAGCCTACCTGGGATTCTCCCTTCCTCGCTCTCTGCCCCTCCCCCACTCACGTGCATGCTCTCGGTATCTCTCTCTCAAAATAAATGCTCAAACATGTAAAAATCTTCTTACATAGATTGTTTCTTTCCGTGGACCTCTGGATAAAGCAATGAGGTAGGCAGGCTGGTATTACCATACCCATTTGATGGACAAGGAAACGGAGGCCCAGTTTAAGGCTGGGCCCTTTGATGATCTGGTGGCAAAGCCAGCTCTCCAGATGCGACCGCCCTCCCTGCGGGCCTCACGGGCGCACAACCTGGCGGGGACGGCCAGGCCTGGCCGGCGCTCTGCCCTCTCAATCTAGAAAAGTCCTCCACTTGTGACCCACGAGCCCTGCGTCTGCCTCCTGCCCTGGGCCCTGCCCACCCCTGGAGCTGGCCCCGCCCCCACGTCCCGGACTCCCCCCACTCTTCCTCCACCCCGATCCCAGGAGCGCCGGGCAGGCCCGGGCCTCAACCGCTCCCAGGGCCCGAACTCTCTTCCTGCTTCCCGTGGCGTCTGCAGTCTGGCGGTGGCCAGCGTGACCTCGGGCCCTGCGCGTGCCTCCTGTGGACCCTGGCGGCTCCTCCCCAGCCGCTTCACATCCTGCGGAAGAAAAATTCGTGCCGATGCCACCGGTTCATCCGAGTCAAAATTCTCCAAAATGAGCTTAATTAAAACGAGAGGCTCTTGGGTTTTCTCAGATTGGATGCGATCAAACCCTCTCAGAACAATGGGTTTCTCATCGCTCTTTAGCTGAGCGTCTGTCCAATTCCCTGCCCCAGGTAGGCGCCAACACTTGAGGCAAGAGAGAGAGAGGAAACGGGAGGAAGGACGGGAAGGGGACAAGAAAATGAAGAAAACCCAAATCCTTCCGGATGCTTCCAACCCCCTCCACCCAAGACACCCTTGTCGTCCTCAAGGCTTAAAACCATTGCAACCTGTGGAGAATATCAAACAAAACGTGGTCACTTGAGCCTACTCACTCCCACAAACCGTGAGCAGCAAAGCAAAAGACAATGCCCATCTGAAAGGCTGAGAAGGTCAACTGCAGGTTGCTGACCGTGACCGCTCTGTCCCCGGACTCCTGTTCTGGCATTCCCATGGCCTCTGCGGTGCCACCAAGGTGAACGGGACAGGTGCCAGAGGAAGGAGCCAGTTCTCTCCCCAAATTTCTCTCTTCCGAAACCGCCTTGGGTTGTTTCTCTTCCTCGGATGGTCCCCAAATCCCGCTCCTTCCTTAAAATCCAAGCAGCGCTTGTTTGCCTCCCTCCATAATTGACTTTGGATGGATTCTACTTCCTGGACTATAACTCCCTCCATGCTCTCCAGAGGTCCATGAAAAGTTGATGTGTAACCAGGCATATAACACCAGCGAGAAGAACCCACAAATCAGAGCAAACTTCTAGATATTTTTTTTTTATTATGCATTTGACAGTTAGTATTTTCTGAGTGTTAGCACAACGGATGAATTTCTCTCCAAGATAGCATCCTGCCACAGAGCCAAACGGTGCCTATGCGTTTTAAAAATGTAACTCAAGCTCTAAGGAATATGCGTTTGGATCCAGAACACAATTTAAAATCTGTCTATATATACACAGTGGCTTTACTTTGAACAGATCCACATAAAGGAATCGAAATAAAGAGTTTCACAATAAATAGTTGCTTCTCTAAACTGTACACAGTCCTGCTAGCAAAGCACTGCCCTCTTTTCCTGGGTGATAGGTGCTCCTTTTTCTATCCGTAAGAGCTCATGAAATCACGCACGCAGAATTTAGCATTTGGTCAAGGCCAACGCTCTGTCGTTCACCACCTTAAATTTCCCCGTGTGGTGACCTGGGCGTGCCCCCCCCGCGGGTCCCCCCCCCCCCCCCCCCCGGGGGCGGGGGGCCCCGCGCGGGGGCCCCCCCCGTCTGCATCAATGACGTTGGCACCAAATACTTTGCCGGGTACGCACGGCAATCTTGGGCCGGCCGTAAAAAGCACAGCGGAAACAGATCGCGACCTGCGGGGCGTTACAATCCCCAGTGGTTGCCAATTACATAGATAAATAGGAATTTACATAATTTACAAAGAGTTTGCATTTGTGGCTTATTTTGAAGCCGTTCCCCAAAGATCCACATTTGTTCATGAAAGCGAATATTCACCCAAATGGCCTGGAGGGGAGGCCGGCGGCTTTTACTGCGGCTCTCTGGGAAGTGCCTGGCCTGCCTGTCCGCAGAGGGCTCAGAAGGGCACCTGATCGAGGACAGGCTCGCAGCCGCACGTGTCGGGGCTCAAAGCCCACACATACTCGTGTTCTTCTTTCCTCGTCACAAACATCAAGGTTTCTTTTTTCTCTCGTCCTCTCTTTCTCAAAGGTACATTCTTTTAGTGGGTACCGTGCACACCTGAAAATCGCTGTCTAAATCCTCCTAGAAGCTTCAAAGTCCTCAACTCCTGCAAAGCTACGCTCCGCATCCAAAATCGACGCCTGGCGCCCTCCCTAGCCCACAGCGCGTGCCTTCTGGATGTCAGGATGGGAGCGTCGCATGCTCCCGCCGCATCGGTTGTAAGGGACGCGTGTTTACGTTTGCAAAGTCAGCCTGGAGCCCACTTATACTCCAAGAGAAGCAAAAGCCAGCAAGCGGCTGGATGTGCCACGGCGCTCCAAAAACAATTTCCTGCATGAAACCCGAGCCGCGGGCGTCAGGCTCTGGGGCACATCTGGGATCATTTTACCCATTAGAGAAACCGGGTCGTTGGGGCTGGGGCATTCTTGGGTGAGGGGTGTACTGTTAAGCGTGGGCCTTCTGAGTGGGTTTTCCCCCCACCAGGCAAAACTCATTCCTGGTCCTCCAAGAGGCTGGGAACGTGAACCGGGAAGGAGCGGAAACTAAGGCCTCCCAGAGATGGGGTGCTGCTGGCCCGTGTCCGCAGGGGTTCCTGACACAGCAGAGGGGGAGGCAGAGCGCGGGGGGCCCACCGCCGGGCAAGCATGTGATGCCAGAGGCCTAAGGCCTGCTCGCTTGGTTGGTCCCGGACTTCAGCCTATCTTGGAGGAAGGGGCAAAAGAGAAAAAGAGGTTCGTTATGAAGGAGAGCGCTTGCGGCTGGAAAGGGGACATCTCTCAGCTCCCTCTCTAGCCCTGTCCCCTGCTCTGAAGTGACCCTTCCCACCAGCGCTTCGTGGCAATTTCAGAGCCTGCCACCCACCCGGGAAGGTGTGAATGAATCACACCAGCAGAGGCGGCCACTGGGAGGTGCCCCACAGCCTGGTCCCGTCTTTGATTATCACAAGCTCAGGACGGTGGCAGCTTCCAATCTGAGAATGCTTATCTGGGAATTGTTAAGTCGAGTCTTGCAAGAAAGCAGGGACCGTGGCTTATAAGAAAAGACTTTTCTTCCCACATAAAGCTTCTTATGGGAGCTTTACGTGAATCGTGAAAACCTGGGAAGAGTCTCCTTTCCAGGCCCCAGTGGGGACACGTGTGCGTGCTTCCTCACCTTCTGGACGTTCAATGGAACAGTTAAGAGCAGCGACAGCAAAAGCAACTTCACGCTTTTTCCGTGCGGGGCTCTCTGGCCTTCCTTGAACAGACCCAGCATATTCCTACCACAGGACCTTTGCACTTACTGTTCTCCCTCCCTGAACTCTCCTCCCCTTCATCATCCCCCTGGCTCACCCCTTGACTTCCTGCAGATCATTCTGCCAAGGAGACCGCCCTGTCCACCCAATCCCAAACTGCAACCCCCAGCCCTGGCACTTCCTGTCCCGACCCTGCTTTCCTGAGTTACCCACAGTCAACCACGGCCCGGAAGTAGATGTTCCTCCTTCCGACACAGCGTCAGGAGGACAACAGTAACCTCGCGCTGTGTCACAGGCCTGTGTATTCAGCTCACTCACATCTTCACGCAGCATTTTACCACCTCTCCTCGTCACAAGGGGGGTGAGTACAAACCCAACGTTTTGGGAGAGAAAGAGAGACCACACTCACGTGACTTTTATTACAGGAGATTGCCATACTTGTCCTACTTTATGACCAGGTATCATAGTTACTCTCTCCCTGTGCCTGATTTATCAATGCGACATCCTGGTAGAGGGGTGTGTGTGTGTGTGTGTGTGTGTGTGTGTGTGTGTGTAGGGAAAAATGCAGTACCTATGGGCATGTCCGCAGTCCGTCTGGAACGAAGCCCCCATGGGGGAGGGGGGACGAGTGTATTTGTCTGCGGTCAGCTCCCCACATTCTGTAAGTTCCGCAAACGCAGCCCCTCCGCCTCGTCCCCTCCCGCGTCCCCGACTTCCAGAGCGCTGCCCGGCATGTCGCAGGTGCACCACACATCTTTGCTGAATGAATGCATGAGTGAATGAATAAATGATGTAAAGGATGGATGGTTTTAATCACAGCCCGTCCTCGCCGAGAGGAGCGTGGGTTTGGGGTGAGGGAGAGAGAACAAAGCAAAAAGAGGCAAAGCAGGGACCAGCTGGGGCCTGACTCACGCTCTCCCGGGGCCTCTCTCTGCCGCCTCGCCCGCCCCCCTCCTCTCCGTTCGTATTACAGATGCTGACGGATCTCTCCGGACGACTAGAAGCGACTGCCACCGGTTTGGAAAGCCTCCTGTATACTGAGCAGGGTTTAATCTCCCCTTGATCAGTCCCTGTAGGAACCCAAGCCACCTCCAGGCTATTATTATGGACATAAATTACTGTCCCATTGCACATGTGTAGGCGAGCCACTAATAACAATTTCTGATTGATAGAATGACAAGTAAACTGAGTCTGGCTGCAGGAAACCCTCAGAATCTCTCATACAAAAAAGACAAGCAGGTTAAAAAAAAAAAAAAATCATAAGCCCGACCGGGGGACATAGACCGTGTGCTGCCAGGTTTCACCCCCCATCCAGAATCAGCTGCTGAAAACAAGAAATGATTGGGGTGAGGGGTGGGGGGTGGTAAAGACCACACGTTGCTTCGGGAAAAAGAAACATGGGCCCAGGTAGATGAGCCTGGGCAGGGAAGGGGGCGGGGCTTGGGGGGGCGGGGGGAGGTGTCTCGGAGCAGCAGGGTCAGCAAGCTGTGTCCAGGCCCAGCGAAACCCAGAGCCGGATGTCACTGCTCTAGAGTTACAAGGGAGGCAAGGGGTCAACTCCCGTGACAAGAGCGGCTGGCCGGGGGCAGGGCAATGACAGTGACCACAGCTTCAGCCCTCTGTCCCCAGGGACAGTCTACCAGAGGCCCGGTTCTGTGGGTGCAGCGCCCCACCCGTGGTGGGGCTCCCACCGGCTGCCCTCACAGATCACTCGCCACCCTCACGTCCTCCTTGTCCCCAAGGGTGCGGCGCCTCAGAAAGTATCTTCACCTCCTCGGACGCAGGCCTCCATCGGCACCGCCGGCTGGCTGTTCCTCTTCGTCAGGATTTTCTGCTGTCCTTGAGTTCCTGGGGGGAGAGAGAGCTGGTTTGGATGAATCGACCTGTACTTCTGTCTGGCTGGTTTTCGGTCGCCAGATCAGGACCTGCTCTTCCCCACCAACGAGCACGGTAGCACATTCCCCAAAGACCACGTCTCAGGCACGGTTTCTGAAGGTTGAGCCCCCAGTGGGTGGATTTCTACCAAACTAGAGCGTCTACTCCCTCAATGATTCATCAGATGTTAAGGAGTCAAGAAGAAGAACGCAGTTGGCCCTGGGGTTTCCGACAGCGAATCCTGGGTCCCCGACTACTAAGGCCACCACCTGCCTCTTGAGCGGACGCCCGTGTCAACGGTTGTCCCACGTCAAACCCGCGGTCTGCCCATTTAGCCGGGTCCCTACCGAGTCACAAACCTCTCTCCGGCAGCCAGAGTTAGGGCTACAGGGTCTCAAACTCAAGGAGTCCCCAGAGTGAGGTGATGTGCAAACACAGGGGAATGGACGCAGCACATCTCCCTCAGAGGTGAGTGGCTCCCTCAGTTCCAGCCCATACTGGCCAGGAGGGAACGCGGGGCCCTCCTGCGACCAGATCGTCCCATCTGCGGCTCTTCGAGAAGCTAAAAATACGCGTGTGGCACGGGTGGGTAATTCTTCAACGTTTAAATGTTGGCAACTCACTGAGATTTTGGCAAAGTTGCCGTGCGGTCCACAAGTGTGTCTGCAGACCAGACGTGGCCAGGGCCACGTTGCGGGCTCTGTTCTGCAAGGCAGCAAGGAGGCCGGACGTGGTACCCACCCGCCCCCACCCCTGGAGCCAAGGGCACCCACGTGTGGTGTGCAGCCCACTAGACCACAGCAGCCAGGGCGCACCCAAGCCCTCCTGCCCCAGGCCCCGCGCCCCGCGCGGCAGTCAGACTCTCCCAGTCTGTTTTCACCCGGAGCTGCAGCACCACGGGGGTGAGTGTGACGGGGACGTCGTACCTGCTGACGGCCAGGGTGCGGGTACAGAAGTGCAGGCAGGCGCTGTCCCGACTCCGCACACAAGCGCAGCGCAGCGTCCACTTGGACGGCTGTGGGCTCCGCGGGAACGGCCCCGCGGACCTCTTGCTCCGGAAGCTTCCTCTGTAGTTGGACAGTCCATAGGGCACGGTCCGTCTGCAAAGGACAGAGCAGCGTCAGGGCCGCGTGTGGACGAGCGCCACGGGCCTCCCCGCTCCGGGGGCATCCGTGGGGGCGGAGCTGGCCAGGGCTGGGAGACCGTGGAGCCAGCAAGAGAGGTGGGGTCCAGCGACACCTTGAGAACTGGTATCCCCGTGGTCCCCCATGCTCTGGGTCTCAGGAAACCTGTGCAGGGAACCTTTCAGCCGTCTTCCCCAAGCCCCCAGCAAGGGGGCTGGGGCCGAGGGGGTAGGACGGTGGGCGGCGCTGGGGGAGGAGGTGTCAGCACTCGAGGTGCGCCCCCAGTCCCGGGTCCTTCGAGGGCGGTTCTGGGCTGTCTTCCCGGGCCCGAACCCCGGACACTGACATTCTGGCTGTCACGCGTGCTGGTCTGCCTCGTCCTTGGGCGAGCGCCCAGGGCCGGTCATCCATACCAGTAAGAGGCCTGCCCAGCTCCCAGCCCGAGGCCGGCCGTGCCCTGCCTGCCCAACAGCCAATTTCTCGTTTGCGCACATCGCCTCGCCGTCTGCATTAACGGGAATACACAAATGTAATTATGGCCATTGTGGACACATCCTGGCCTCCAAACACGGGTTTCCTCGAATACACAAACATCAGAGGCAAGGATGGAACTGTCCTTGGGGAAAGGCTTATTTAAAAAATCTCATTTAGAAGTCTGAAAACGTTTACCCGTCTCACTTACGGCTGGAGCTGGACGAGGCTGTCGGTGTCATTTGGAACAATTAACATTTGTCTTTTCCTTATGCTCATCAACATCCAAACCATCACTCTCCAGAGAAGGGGGAAGACAGCCAGGCGGCAGTGTGGTGGGAAAAATTAAAAGCATATGCTTAACTCATTAGCACCATTGAACGGGACTGGGGGACAAATTGCTAATAACCAGAGAAAGCTTATGTGGCCAAAAGTTACTTTTCCAACAGGGCCTGGTTTTCCAAGATGAGCCACCTTGGTTTCTGTGAGCCCCACGGAGCATCACCAATCACCCGCCTCAAAGGGGATTCTGACATCCTCTCTGGATTCTCAAAATAAAATCAAATTGGATTTACTTTAATTTGAAACACACATCAACATCATGGAGTCTTTTCGGGGTGGTGGGGGCGGAGCGGGGGTGGGAGCGCCCCCTCGCGACCTGATGCTTGGAACCCACTTCCAACGTCCCGCCCCGCTGGGTCGGAGGCCAGAGCAAAGGAGCGCCCCCTCCCCATTCATCTTCTTGTGTCTGTGCTCCGCGTTGTGGCGGGTTCCTTCCCAATGGGTAGAAGGTGGCTGCCTCCTGCCCTCGGTACTGGCTCGCAAAATGGAGAAAGCAAGCAGAACCCAGTCCCGTTCTGAGCCGAACCTTTGCTAAAATCCCATTTCTTCTCAGGAGTGGGATGGCAGCACAACAGAGACTGTCGTGAGGCGGGATCTGCCTAAAGGTATGTTCTTCCGGTAATAGGGCCGCCTTAAGTCTCAAAGTGTTGACATTAAACCCGGTCCCCATTTCTTGGTGAAAATTACACACGAGGAGTAACAATGCTCCCGTGTTTCCATCAACGGCAAGACTTCCGATTTTGAAATTGCCGTCAGCTGATGGTGCATTTGCGTGTGCACAGCCACTCGACTTCGGCGAAAACACTCCAAAGTGTTTCAGGCAAGGAAACAAGGCAACATGGTATTTGTTAATAGAGCAAAGCTAAGCGCTTTCCCAGCAGTCAAGTGCAAGGAGCTCGTATGCAAATGAGTCCTTGCAATTTTCAAAGAATGTTCCCAGAGAGACACTGCCCCCTCCGCTTCCTCCCCCCCCATCCTAAGCCTGGAAACCCCTGCTCCAAGCCCTGGGGGTCCAAAAATGCCCCCCCCCCCCCCTGGCTGGCTGGCTGAGCTCCAGGACGGGTTGGGGAGGGTAGAGGCTGCAGAAACGAAGGGTTTAGAAGGTGGTCCAGACCCCAGAAAAGCCGGCCTCTAACCAGGCTCCAGTTCCAGTGGAGGCATGGGCCGACAATCTGAAGGTTTTAAATTAACCTGATAAGCTCTTAAGTAAGATAGTTCTACCTTCCTACCTGAACAAACATGGCTTCAAAACACCCTGGACGTCCGGGCTTGAATTTAGAATCCTGGAGCTGTGTTGGAGCATGGCCACCCAAGGAGGTTCACACCTTCTCTTCCATCCCACTCAGTCCCACACCAAGGGGGCCTCATCCACCCCCTGGCCACACTGTGGACCTTGGGGGATGTGCCTGGAGCCCTGCGCCATCCCTGGGTGCCAGACTCCAGAAGATACCCGCACGGGCCCTGGAAGCGGGCTTGGGGACATTTGGGTAAAGGATTCCAGGATCCTGAACACCTGGAACACGGTCTAGAAGAGGTACACACTTAGTCCCATAGACTCCTTGGATGGGGTAGGAGACATGGCCAGAGGAGGGCCAGAGGCAGCCCTGTAGCCCAGAGGGCCCAGTGCAGGGGACCTGAGGGTCCAGATCTAAAGGCGACTCACCAACTCCTCAAGAGGAGAAGTCTGGTCTCTTCTGCCGTACCTGCCATGGACCCAGCACGAGGCTGAGCAAATGGGAGGAGTTGTGAGAATCCAGTCTGGTAAGACAGGATCCTCTCCAACCTAAAAGGTTCAATAACCACAAATTCATTACAAAGAATCTCCAAGATTTGCCAAGCATTATACAAATACGTGTATAATGTCTATGTATTATACATATATATTACATATAGATATCATACATATATATACAAATTCATGAGAATCTCCAACATTTGTCAAGCATTACATATATATGCGTACAAAACATACGTACGTATATATATATATATGTCCCTAGCATCATCCTAAGTGTGATGGGGATACAGGAAGGTCTTCAGGAGTTCACACACTCCGGGGCTACGAAACCAGGTCAAGGAGACATTATAAGCCAATATATACAGGTACGTGCCAGGTACACAAAGCACAGAGAAAGCTGAGCTGGTGACTGCATTTTATGTCGTAAAGCACTTACATGATGATAACTCCACCCTCTTGACAGTTTCCTGACTTGCAAAAGGGCTGCTGGACAGACTGAATGACACGCTGCACTACATCATGAAACAGTCAGCAAAAAGCTAGCAGTAAACTAACGATAGCTCTCATTGTTACTCATCTGGTCTGGGAATTCAAGTGAGTTGTTAGCAGGCAGGAAAATCCCACCCACCCCGCCTGCATTTGAGATGTGTGAGCAAGCAATAAAGACGGGCAAGTAAGGGGCCAGAGCACCATAAGGCGCAGCAATGCCGTCCTCTGCCATGCTTCCTTCCGGCCACTCTGTCCTTCTACACGGCCCGTCCAACAAGCACTTGGGTTTCACTCGTCTCGGTGCCCGTTCGCACTTTTTAACGTTTCTTGAACAGCGAACTGGAAGCACCTAATGGTGGACCGATGAAAATGAAGTCCGCTCGGCTCAGAACCCCTGCCCAGCACCCTCTCTGGCCAGTTGGTTTAGCCCACTGCTCAACAGCAGGGTTTGGAGAAGGCGGTTCTTTGCAAAAAGTAGGCAGCTCTTTCCTCTGTTCGGGTTTCGGTTAAAACACAAGAGCTCCACACAAAGGAGACGCAGACGAGAAGACCAATCCAAATGCTCTTAGACAAGACAGAACACCCTTCCGGCGTACCTTCACACGCGGCGTCTCACATGGTATCTGTCTGTGCAATAAGCTGTCCCGCCACCTACGTACGTTCCTTATTGATGGGGGACGGCGGTGCCAGTGTTATTTATCACGGTGTTCCTTATTTACCACTTTTTCCTAAATGTCATCTACGAATGTTGTTAAATATTAAACTTCCAAATCCAAATCCAAAAGCAAAAAGAGATTCACTGACCAAATTCTAATCTCCCAGGAAAGTTTATCACAGGGGGGGATAGCGCACAGGAAGCGCTTGATTTTTCTCTGCAAGAAGTTTTTAAAATAAGGAAAATTGCCTTTTTGTTGTTGTTGTTTAAGATTCTGCTTTTAAGTTCAGTGTTGCCTTCTCATATAAATGGATTTGTTATCTCCATCTTTCTGATTAGGAAACTGGCTTCTATACCTGAACTTTAAATTTTGTTTAATGTTTTATTATTTATTTTTTGAGAGAGAGAGAGAGACAGAGCATGAGCAGGGGACGGGCAGAGAGAGAGAGAGACACGGAATCCGAAGCGGGCTCCAGGCTCCGAGCTGTCGGCACAGAGCCCAACGCGGGACTCGAACCCACGAACCGCGAGATCATGACCTGAGCCGCAGTCAGACACTCAACTGACTGAGCCACCCAGGCGCCCCTATACCTGAACTTTAAAGGAGGGATAGAGACATTCGCAGGGGCCAGCCAGAAGCAGCAAAAAGAGATTCACTGACCAAATTCTAATCTCCCAGGAAAGTTTATCAAATTGTCATTGAAAACCCAGTTTTTTCCCCCCACCCCACTGAGCAGCATTCAGCACATATCAGACTGGACTGGACTCTGGGTGAACATCCATGAACAAGACAGACAAGACAAAGTGGCCCTGTTCACACACAGCTTTAATCCACCACAGGGGTTGGCAATTTGGCATTTATGGGTTTCATCCAATCAACAGAGGGTTTTTCTTTTCATTTGACAATTTTTATGAAATTGAACATCCCGATTTCCAGCTTCTCTCAGATAACCAGAGGCTGTATCAACACCAACCCCAATCCCCGACATGGCTCAACCGTCATCACAAGCCTAGTGACAAAGTCAGAGATGGGGCACGAACGCTCTATTTTGCCCCAATCCCTGCAAACACCTTTCCTTCTGCTCATTTGTGTTACGGGCCTGGCCCTCGTGGGCATCTGAGTCTGGTGGCCTGTCCCATAGCACCAGGTCAGACAGGTCACAGGACACACATGTCACAGAGTGACAAAATCAGCCCTCGATACCATTTTTATAAATAGAGCCATCTGCAATTTAAAAAGCCCACATTCCAGTCTCTGACACAAACAGATTGTTTTCACTT